GCTCCCGGGCGCCCTGCGGTCCGAGACAGGGTGGCGGGCTGCCGTGCCTGCCCGCCTGCCTGGCTCAACCGACCTCCTCTCCAGCACAGATTATTCTTTTTTTTTTTTTCTCCCCCTTCGTATTTAAGGAATTGGCCAGGTTTTATGAGTGTTTTGCTTTAAGCTGGTTTTGTCTCCTGGCTTTTGCTTATGGCTGTGGTCTCAGAGAGAAACTGTGCTTATTCCAGCCTGAAAGGACAGGGGCGGTGTGGGGGTTGTCCTGCTCCTAGGGGCTGCAGTGGGGCTGGCCCTACCGCAGGGAGGCTTGCTCCCTGCCTTCTCCCATGGTGCTGGTGGTGACCAGAAGGTGCCTGTACCAACCGCCTGAAGCTGGTGCATCCTGGACCTTTGAAAAACACGGAGAAAAGTGGCCTGCCTTTTAGGGGGAAACATCTTCAGATATTAAACGTCCAAAAGCAGCAATCTCACTGCACGTGGGCAGTTGGGAACCTCTATATGAATGGGAGCCCCGTGTTGGCGGAAAACTGTCTTGGAGCACCTAATCATTAACATGAATGTGCAGTAATAGAAATATACCTAGTTTACCTGGAGGAAGATAAAATGATAATATTAAAACCAACTTTAGTCCAACTTTGTTGCCCAGCGGTAAGTTCCAATTATTTAAGGTGAAGAGTTCACTGTTTCTGTTAGTATTTTGATTATAACCATTTCCTTTGATTAGGCTTCCTTTGATATTTCTCTAAAATAAAATAATATTTCTCTAAAAGCCCTGCCTCGTTGAATGTACAATGTATAAGGCGTACGTAGCCCTGCTAAAAGGTTTACAAAAGTTTGTTCCAGATAATCTTCCCCTTCTCTGTCTTTCTCTATATATTTTCATATATCTTACTAGTTGCTCTTAGCGTTAGTAGCAATCTTACTGTTCTACATTTGTAGACCGCCTTTGCATGTCCATGTGGCTCCTACATACTTCTCACATGCCCACAGGTATCCCCTCAGTTTTATAAATGTAAAAGAAGTTACCTAACTGAATGCAGATAGGTAAAGTGAGGGAGAAATGTGAATAATATTGCCAAACTAGAACAGAAACTCAAGGGACAGGGAGGATAAGCCTTCACAGGAACTGTGAGGCAGTAAAGCATAAAAATTACAAAAGGGGTGATGGTCAGGAGTGTGGTGGACATGCATAATGGCAGGGAAGGTGGAAGGGAATATGGAGCTGCCAGAGATCAAAAAGAAAGCTGGAAAGAGAAGAAGAACCAAGGAGGGCAGAATGAGGAGAGGAGAATAACAGAGGCTTGTAGTAAACTCTCTGTTTCTGTATAGAACTGGGTAGAGCCTTCATGGGAAAAACTGTATGTAAACATGTAATCAAACCATCTACAGCAGGGTAAACACAAAGACATATCACAGCAAGGTCATGCAAGGCTTTTAAATGCCACTTCCTAATTTTTGAGCACTTAACATTGCCATCTCAGTGCTCTTACAACTTAGAGTTTTGTCTGTAAAACATTAAGGGGGACAACATACAGATAATCATACATCGCCTTTTATTACACCCTTCAGCTGAGCAACTCATAGCTTTAAGCTAGCTTTTCCTCAAAATTCAGATTGCAATTTTGACTTTGCGTTTGATCAAAGTGAGATTTTAATAGAGGTTTCAGTAATTTTCGTCAAGACTGAGTTACAAAAATAACTTTGTAAATTTAAGATTTCCATTTAAAAATTTGTGAATGAGATTGAATTTGTAATGCAAATCAGAGCTCATAGTTCTGACACTGCAGATATGATATTATGAGGGCTTTGCAGAGAGGAGCTCTGGGACCCTGTAATAACCCTGAAACCGCTCCAAAATATCAAACACTTGACCCTTCACGTAAGTAATTAATACCTGTTGCAAGGCAAGACTTGTAGGCAAAGTTTTGTATTTGTTTAATTACATCTGGAAGAGAGCTCAACTGTCTGAAAGCTCTTTCCAAATAGAATATGCCTGTTTTTAAATCTTGCCTTGTCTGTGTTCTTGGATCATCATGATTACAGTGCTACAGCAAAGACTTGGAACTGTAGCAATCTCTCTTAGATGTTCTCTTTTGACATATTCCTATGACAGAGTTTTCTGAGATAGCTGCAACATGTACTCCTTGAGAAGCTTTATTTCCATGTAAAATCTACATTATAATTTTAACAGGTCTTCTGTGGCAAACGCTGTGTAGGCAGCTATCTTTGACTGACTGTAAAGTGTATATATACATATTTTTACAGGTGACAGAACTTTGCTCGATTTTAAAGAATTCACCTCCATCTGTCCTTAAGCTGTTTTTCCTTAGCTGTCTTCACAAGTGAAGACTTTTGATATGTCCTCCAAACATCTATCTACTTGCCAGTTTCACAAAAGATCCCTCAATTCTATTTGCAAACATGAACATTGCTTGAAAGGTATTCTTCTAGTCAAAGAAAGATGTGAGGAAAGCATTTGCATGCTGTATCTCTAAGAAACAATTATTTCAGTATGGGAACTGGCTACCTCAAAAATTTTTAAAGATTTGAGGGAGATGAGACTTACTAGACACTTTATGACATTTATATTGTCAAATGTCAATTACTTTTTTGAATTACACCATCTGAGATTGGGTTCTTCCTTCCAACTCAGTAATCCCATTTCCCTTGCACTGTATATAACAAGGATATATGTAGTATTACAAAGTTCATGCAATTATATTATGTGATGTTTCTAAGACTTTAAAATGTATATGTAGCTTAAAAATAAGTTCTTTGATTAAGTAAACTGAGAATGGGGACCAGGTTACGAGGATTCCAGCCTCACGATATGCTGTCTGCAAGTGAAATCCTGAAGCTACTGAAGGGAATTCATTGTGCATTTTCATAGTACTTAGTGCAAAGGAGTCCTAGGAATTATACTGGCTGAAGTTCAGAGAGGTCAGGGAGCGGGAACTGTGAAAGTTAGTGGTAGGTACATCCAAAGCAAAGCTTCTGAAGCTAGCAAGAAAGAAAAGATCAACACTGAGAGCTTTTCCATAAGAAGGATGAGTCCATGCTCTTTTTTTTTACAGAGCACTGTAAAAATCTTAAAACAGTTTTTGAGTTTTAAGCCTATAGTGGTAGTTTTATGTTCTTTCTGTTAATCAGATGGTTGGAAGGGACCTCTGGAGATCATCTAGTCCAACCTCCCTGCTCAAGCAGGGTCCTCTAGAGCATATTGCCCAGGATCACATCCACACGGCTTTTGAATATCTCCAGGGAAGGAGACTCCACTACCTCTCTTGGCAACCTGTGCCAGTGCTCAGTCACTCTCACAGTCAAGAAGTTTTTTCTCAGGTTTAGATGGAACTTCCTGTGTTTAAGTTTCTGCCCATTGCCTCTTGTCCTGTTGCTGGGCGCCACGGAGAAGAGACTGGCCTCATCCTCTTGACACCCTCCCTTCAGATACTTGTACACGTTGATGAGATCGCCTCTCAGTCTTCTCTTCTCCAGATTGAACAGGCCCAGCTGTCTCAGCCTCTCTTCATAGGAGAGATGCTCCAGTCCCCTCATCATCTTTGGGGATGAAGAATAGGAAAATGTAAGGCCTTGTCTTTCACATACTTGTATTTAAGCTGCACATATATAGCACACAAATTTCAATCAAATTGACATTAAGTGTTTAACTTTCATAGACGCTGAACACTTAACCTTGAATTTCTAGTTCTCATTAGCTTACTCAAATTTATGTAGACAAAACCATCATGGAATGTTTAATTTTCAGATCTCTGACTTTTTACTGAAAATTCAGTATTTCAAAAGTATGAGTCCACAGGTTTGAGTCATGAAATCAGGGCAAAAATTGGGAGAGCTGGATGGTACCAGATGGCTTTCTTTTTCCCCTTGTCTTTCTCTTCAAAGAAACATGCACAGCTAAAACAAAATAACAGTCCCCTCCTCAAAAATCTAAGCCTCAAGCTTCTGTACTTAAAGTTTGTCACATCTTCCAGGGTGGAGAGGCATTTGGGAAAAATTATGTCACCATTTATCAACTAGAGATAAATGAAATTGTATGTTACAAGGAAAAATATTATTTATCACCCTGTATTTATTACGTATGGTTAAAGCACCAGTCCTATACAAGCAAAGTCCAGCACAAATGCAAGCAGCCAGTGAAATCCAGAGCAGACAGTCAAATCAGTGGGGTACCCAGTTTGTCGCATGAGTCTATCCACACAAAGCACTTTAGAGTATTAGCGTTCAAATTAGGGGGAAAGAAATAAGCTTTTCAACCTAAGCAAAGCTGAATTACGAACTCATTACTGCGTTTGAAGGCTATCCATTTCATAGAGTAAAATATATGTAATAAAAGTCATCCTTCTCTGAATCAATACTGTGGTAAGGCTTCATTAAGGGCCATGTTGCTGAAGATGCCAGCGTTTCAATGCAGCTTAAACCCCACAGTTTAACAGCTCTAGTTGTTGCAGTAAATATTTTCTGATATTTATCTGAATTTCTCCATGATCCATACTTCTTGTTATCTATCTACTCATGTGAGCTGGTAGCATTATTCAAAACTTCGGCAAACCTTTTCCTATTGTACTAGACCATAAAGCTTACAGTGGGAGGTGGGAGGTGACTCAATAACTTGGCCATAGCCTTCAAAAATCTCATTGTGTGATGTAATTGGGCAAACTTGGCTGACAGTGGATGGGAGGTGGCAGATAATTTATCTTTTATTTTACACCACAAGAGTTTATTTGCAAAACAATCCTGAGATAAAAATACAAAAAAAAAATACTATAAGCACAACTCAAACCTATAGTTAAATTAAATCTAGTTTAATGGTCCTGCTCTTTAAGATGCTGCAATTGTTGGAGTATGAAGAGATCACAAAGAACGTTCATAGCGTGGTAACTCAAGGACAGTGATGAAGGGGAAAGACACTGATCCTGCTGTCTTGCGAGAGTATGAATCATCAACACCAAACCATCTGCAGAACTGATGTTCTCCATCAGTTTATTCCCCCACCCCCAACCCCGCAGAGCTGCTGGCACTTCCATCCCCTTAAGGTCTGGGCATGTTAATGAGGGCCAGGCCACACAGCTGGGAGACTATGCACTACACTGTAGTGTTTAAAAAGAGAGGAAAGGCCTTTGTAGGTTCCCTTGATCCTCTTGGCTGTTCCCTCCTTTCATGTTAATCTGCCTATACATGTGGGAAAGAATTTACCCATCAGCTATGTACATAATTAGACTTTAGGCTTTAATTTCACCTTTCACAGTTTTCTACCTATCACTTATTTTGATTGAGATTTATCTACTTAGTTTCATTGTGTCTTCATTGAAGAGCTTCTGCAACAGGTGGTAAGGAAGGGCCCTTCCCCTACAAAAAAGAAAAAAAGGCCAAACATAGCAGCTCTTCAGCAAATGTCTCATTATTCCTTGCATCTGGGTGTTTCACAGCTTCTGTTTATGGCTGTGTGTTTGGTCTGGCTGTCCTTAGTGTTTCTGCCCAAGACCTATGCTCAGGATTCCCTGCTGCTTCTGCAGCCTTGTCAAGGTATCCACTATATAAGCATACAAGTGATAAGTTTCCTAGGACTGGCAACCGCTGAAAAACTGACAGTAAAATAAACACCAATAAAATTCAGAATCCATAGGGGAATATTTGTGCATTCACAGGCCTTGACTTCCTTCCTGCATGCAGTTTAGGCATACAGTCGTTGCCTTCACTATAGCTGCAACAACAGCAGTTTATGGGTTATGATTTGCTGTAGCAAGTTCCACTTTCATTTACCTTTAATGCCAAGTACTCAATAAATCATGCTGTTTCAAGGTGTGGTTCTTTGCTGCCTTGTACTCCACACTGTTTGCACTTGATTGCACTCTGCATTTACCTTGTCCTGTAGACTTTGCAGTCCTGTATGGAGCATGATACACACGGTAATAAATATATGTCCCGGCACAGAAGTAGTATGCAGTCTCTGACTTAACAAATTAGTACTGGGAAGAGTTAAGTTCGTCTAAATGGAATTTTACTAGCCAGGGAGTTACCGAAGATTGTCAGTAAAACATACTGAAGAGAAGGATGAGCCAGCCATAAGATCCAGAAATGAGTGGCATTTAGGTGCCTGACTCTGACTGGTCGAGGGGTGCCTATCTCTATTTGAAACTCACAGCCTGGACTTCTGTGCAGCAATTCTGCAATCAAATAAGTAAAAAAAAAAAAAAAAAAAAGAGAGAGAGAGAGAGAAAGAGAACAAGACATAGAAACCAATTCTGTCTTTAAAACACAGTAGTCAGCGGAGAGGGTGACAGTGTTACTTCATATTAATGCACATAAAATGGTTAGAACATTTTTCAGGACTGTGAGAATCCCAGGTTTGATTCTCCCCTCTCTCTGCAAATCCTCATTTCCATAAAACTTGTTTTAAATGCTACTAAAATGAAGTAAGAACATTCAGTCTCTTAGCTACGGTGCACATCTTTCATTAGGAACCTTTGCGTCCTAGTACAGGAGAAGATGGACCTGACAAGGCAGCATAGATCAGTAACTGTTTATATATTTTACAAGAAATACATAGACACATCCAGAAGAAGAGACTGCAGACCAATTCCCTTGTCACTGAATAAACATTGCTGCTGAGTTGTAAGCTGTCACTGTAGTCAAGAAAGCCTGAATTAGGCATACAAGTTTCAAAGGCAGAGAAAAATGTCATTATTTAAGCCTTTTAAAAATGGGGACATTTGGAGAAAAATAAAACATTTACAGTAATTATTTGAAGCAATTGTTGGCAAAATACTACTTTAGGAATAAGAAATGTAGTAAATGTAATTTAGCACGTGGAAAGTAATACGAGATGCATGTAGTAAATAAGTATAAAAATGTTTTATACTTGTATCTTTAGAATAAAGACTGAATTCTACATAAAGATAGAATTGTACCTCTCACAAAGGTACTTACATCTATTTTTAGAGGTCTAATGACCTCTAAAATAAGAAGAAAATAAGAAGAAAATAAAAATAAGAGATCATCAATAAAGTTGACAGGAAACACAGAGGGAGATTACAACCAATGAAGCTCAGCAGTGATTTATAACGAGAGATTTAGTGTAATAATACAGATTCTGAGCAAACTTAAGTTATTCTAGCCCTAGGTAAGCTTTTCCAGAACAAAAGCTTAGAAAATGAGCATGATCGCTATATGTTAGAAGCGGCATCAGTAAGTTACATAAACACAGAAGATATATAGTCCTTCAATATGCAAGAAGTGAAATTGCCCAAAATCATAAGATTCTATATATCGTAACTTCAACTAAAATACTCATTTGTTACAGAAAGCGTTTTGAGAATTGAAATTAAGCTATAATATAATTAAGCTATAATATATTAAACTATAATTTTAAGTTACTATTCATTTTTCTACTGTTCATTCTGAGCGAAAATATTTCACATAAAAGCTTCTGGAATCTCCACCTTTTCTAAATCAGACCTTTTAAAGAATGAAAAAAAAAACAAACAAACCCCAAAAGGTTGCCCCTGAAGTTTCTGGGATTTTCTTTTCCTTTATTTTCTCTCCAGATCCCCATCCAGATCAGACTCCTGACAAAACAGCAGATTTTTGAACCAGTTTATGGACTGAGGAGGGATTTCTATGTGAGGTATGTACTGACTCACCCAGAGCAGCTCCTATGTGGGGCTACGAGGAGTAGTTACTGGGATTTAAACATTTGGTATCCATGTAGTTCCTATCGAAGGCGCTTGATGTCCTTTACTGATGTGATCCTGAAATACTGCTTCTGCACATAATCCTCAAACAGTAGGGTTTAACTGGAACAGGAAATAAGTCAACTGTTAGATGAACATTGCACTCTTCACTGTTTACCAACTTTGAAACATTCATAATCAGAGTTTTATTTTCCTCAGCTTGTCAACACAAACCCACCCTCTGTTGGGCCCGTTGCTAAATGGGCAAAGCATCCAAGATATATTCCAGATAAACAAGGAAACTAGGAGATGAAGAGTGAAGGAATTCTTGGAATGGAAAAAGTTGAGAAGCACTGTTGTAAAGATTTAAACTTTAAGAAAGAAGTCAACCTCAGTGCTATGCAGTTCAATGACCTCAACAGAATTAATGTTTAGTTCTATATCCTCAGCTCAATATGTCTGCATTTTCCCTGGTGATCAGTGAACACTCCTGATTACCAGTGCTTTGGAGATAAGGTTGACATTGATGAGATTTTCATTGATACGATCTGTTTGTAAACCAGAAGGTCAGTGAAAAAATGTTATTTGGTAAGTAAAATGGCACTGCAAAGATTACTAACAGCAATTTCCAGGGAATTAATTCCTACACGGTAAACTTTGTTCAGTGGAGGTTGTGAAGTTCTGAAGACAGTCATCTCCCTCAGAAAGCTGTGATATTTAAAGAGTCTGGGTAAAACAGACAGCCAGACCTCCTGGGTGCTTTTCACTTGATTATATACCATTGATTCTGTGAAACCGGATAAATCATTTATATGCTGAAGTCCGAAAATAAAACCTGAATAAGGAAAAAGGCACCTGCAAATACTGCAAAAGTTTATCCAGGTGCACTATGGGCACATTTGTGCCTGCAGAAATACAAAAGATAATCATGCATGGTAACCTCTGACTTCCGTTATCAGATAATCTGTACCATTTTCTTGTCCTTCAGTTGTATTATAAAGCTATGCTATTGCTATTATAATGCCATGTAGCTCAGTAAATTAAATGAAAATTTTTCTTTAGGTCCAGTATTTTATTAGGTTTTAGGTTTTTATTTGTCCTATGCTTTAAATAAACCATGTCTCCTGATGAATTTATGCAGCTGTCATTCTGATTCTAAATGGGAGACAATCCAGTATAATGTACTGTAAATGATTTAGAGAGACACACAATGCAGTCATTCTTCCTAAGCATATGTGGAAGACACAGAGAGAGAGAGAAGAAACAAGAAGATACTAGCAAAATCTGTTTTATAATGCACGCTAAATAAGACTGACCTGAAATTCAGGGCTTAACAGTCTGTTAGAAAGAGACTGTATTCTGCTTGCTCTTTTCTTTACCTGCTTATCCCAGAGATGACTTGAGGAGTCTGCAGGCCTGGCCTTAACTTCGTATTACCTGTGGCCGTATTTTTTTTTTTTTTAGGTTATCATTGGAAAGCACTGAGATATGTATTAAACTATGGTCTGCTATTACTGACATTGTTGGAGTTCTATACACGAATATTCCTACACAGATCTATTCTGATAACAAACTAATACTATGGCCATCTAAAATTATAACTATTCCCTTTACAACACAGAAGGTGCAGTATTGCAACTTGTAAAATATATTTAAAGGATTTTCTCTCGCAAAACCCACCATTATTTATTTATTTACTTGTTTGTTTATTTATTTATTTTAGTGTTAATGCATTTGGTTAACAGATAATTTAGACAAGCAGTTCTAAGATATGTCAGATCAAATAGATGTTACTAAACCACCATCCTATTTGGAACAATTGGCTTCTTACCTAAACAAGCTTTGTGCTGCCAAAACATAAATACAATGAGCAGGATCGTGTCGTTATAACGAACTGCTACGTAGAATCTACGTGTTGTTTACATCATGCCTGGAAATAAGACGTATTTCCCAGTCCTCATCTTTACTGCTAAACAGGTTTGTGAGGTAGAAAGAAGAAGACTGCATTATTACCTTTTACTCTAGGTGAGCAGAAATAACCTTTCTCACATAAAATTTACCTTATAATGATTTAGACACTTAGATAAAAATCAAGCATCAATGTATGCTGCACCTTTTCTGAAAAAGAAATCAGCTGACCCTGAATAGGTATAGCAATGTTTTCAGTTCTCTATAAATACTCTACTGAGTAGGTGAGACAAAAAGCTACCCCTCTACACTATTTATCCTTCCAGTCTCTGGATTAAAAGCTGGTCTAAGCTGTCTCCAATTGCTAGTGTTTTAACACAAAGCAGGAAATCTTTCAGATGAGTAATTGATAGTCCAGTCTCATTTAACATCAGGTTCTCTTGTTCCAGCTGAAAGTCAGTCACATCTACTGGATTTTGTAAAGCGTTTTGGTTATGCATGCAATAACATTGTTCACTGCCTTCTTGACGCAAAGCTTCATGTGCCTGAGCATTATTATTTTGTTTACAGAAGACCCTGAGTGTCAAGTTAGAGCCAAGACCTGTGGTTTCCTTTCTCCTGGTACAGTACCTGCCCTGCTGGCTGATAGTGTGAGATCAGGATGATGCACATAAACCTGGAGGCTGAGAAATATGATCCAGTGTAAACTAAGACTAAACGACAATGCACTTCCTGTTGGTGGCATGTCACAGAAGCAATTTAGGATGGAGAACCTGATACAAAATGGTCACTGAAGTCAACTTTTCAGTACGGGTGCTGCTACAGGGACATGTGATTATTTTCCCTTTGCAGGGGGGCAAACCTGGTGAGGTTCAGAGAATAACTGGGTGTAAAGAAATTCTTTTGATTTATTTTCAGAGGAAATGTGCAGTTTCCAAGAGCATTTTCCAGAAAACATATTGAGAAGCTACTATTCAGTATTGGCTATGGGAAGTTAGTAAGGAGCGAGCTTGTCTCACAGCCTGACTGCTGTATACTCTAAAAGTACTCTAAATTAGATTACATGACAATTTATAATTTTAAACAGCTCATTTCCTTAGACTTCTCACTGCCCTTGAAACAAGTTTCTAAGTTTACAGTTGGTACTGGAATTACTGCTTTTAGATTAGTGACACTAATGAAGTCTATGGGTTTGTGTTTCAAGTTCCTACACCATCCTCAGCAGAACAGGGCCAGCTCCAATAGAGGTCATACCTCCAGTTTGGCAGAGACAGTGGTGCTATGGTGGTTTTGCGCAACACGTGCTAACTGGATAATCTGAGCGGACAAAAGAGAACTGAGAATAGCTGGGCTCACCCTGCAGCCCTCCAGGGGAGGGAGAATGGGGTCTCTGTTCTTTCTCCAATTCTTATGCTTTGAAAGAACTTAATACTTTTGGGCCCTTACCTTTCTGTCAGATGTAGTTGACATTGGCTGTCAGGTTCAGAAGTAATGAGAGAGAGAGACTGATCCAAGGCTGACTGATTGACAGACAGATGGACAGGCGATGTGATCGCATAAAGCTAATTTATTTCCTTGGGAAATAAGATCTATAAAGTGAGACTGTGAGTCTTATATTGGTGGGCAGGTTTTTTAAAAGCTTCTAAGATCCAGAGCTACAAATCTGGTTTATGTATCTCATCTTAACTCAGGCAAAAGGAGAATTAGATACCTAAGTAATTTTAAAAATCCTGTCCTAAATGATTTTTAATAGGATTTGCTGTATCACTTGAGTAATCTTAATCCCGCTTGCTGTGTTTAAAATAGCAAATGGTAGGAGTTTTGCCACTGACTTAAAAGAGTCTATCATTTTATGAAGCTTACATAAAAGCAGTGATAATACTTGCAAAGCGAGAAAAATTTTAAATTTTCACATCAGATGTCTTAATTCGCATTCATTGTCTTAACGGTAAAATAATACCCCAACAAACAGAGGCGTAGATTAATGCCAAATGTTCAGCACTGAAGCACTGTTCCTACAAGTGTTTACTTTGATCCAAACAACTAACAAAAAATATGATAGGAAACCTCTCTCTTTCTATGGCCAGTTAAAACATAGTGGATGGCAGAGAAGACGACCAGCGAAAAGTTGCAAAGGCACAGCCAAGGCAAATCCTCATTTGGATTGCATTACTTTTATATGTGGGAGAGTTCAACAGAAAACATATGCAATGATAAAGAGGCTGTCAAAATCTGTGAGTAAACTCAGACTTATAATCATGTTGCAAAAAAGAATCCAGAGGAAAGCGGGTAGAGTGACTGTAAGTGTAGATCTGATTCCCGTGTCTGCTGGGGCATTTTGAAAGTCAGACTAGTATGCACCAGTATAAAAATTAATTTCTCCTAGTCAAATAAAAAGCAGATTCCATCAATTGAACCAACTCTTCATCCTCACCATTTAAAATTTTCCAGTCAAGTTGCTTAAAGACTAAGATTAAGTAGTTTTAAATTATTTTTTAAACTGAGAACAAGGACTTGTTTATATGCTTTTTAAATAACCAATTTGATAGGATTGTAAATAAATCTGTTCAGAGGACAATCATCCATTTACTGCATTCTGAAATTACAAAATTTGCTTCCATTTCATACTATAAGAAAAAAAAAAAGAGAGACAGGGATAGGATTGTGTCAAAATATTTAGTTTTGAATTTAAAGTGTCAGATTTACATGAAGATATCACACTTGATGTGACTAGATTGTCAACACTGGACATTCCAGGAAAGCAACTCAGCCCAAATTGGTAGATCTCTAGGAAAACTTTTGAGCTTAAGTATATATAAATATATATATATATGTATGTATCTTCTGCAAAGAAATGGTTCTGTTTATTTTTATTATGAAACCTAAATGAATGGCCTGATTTTCAGAAACGTTTAAAGTGGCACCAGGTATCAAAAGCGAATGAAACACTTCTGAAAATTAAAATGTTTATTGGGATGTTTATCTCTAGGAAGTTATTAAAATGTCGGTGAAAGTGTTATGTTAATTTACCTTTAAATTCATTTTGAATTACTCTTATACTGAAATGCAGAAAACAATTTATTGTAGAACAACTGTTTGCTTGCAGACATAAAATGACTTCAAATTTTGTAGTCCATTAGATTCTAGCAGTGGTTATTACATCATTTGTTTTTAGTAGACGATCAGGAAACAAATCAATCAAGCTTAGCAATCACTTATGCTTAATATCACCGGACAGAGACTAAGCACTGCAAATAGTTTGACCCAATTAAATTCTTAGTATGTTTACGTATTATATTTGCCCATCTTCCAAACAGTAAAACAAAAGCTAATAAATAACCACATTGCATCATCTTCCCCTGCTACCTTCAGGGAAATTCTATTTACTTAGACCCTTGCCTGCCAAGTGAAACAATATTTGAGTTGCTGAATAGCACACAAATTTTAATCCAGGCTGGCAGTTACTGGGTATTTAATTGCTAACTCAACTGACTTAATAAAATTAGACATTTTTATGCTTGATTTTCTTTACCATTCCTTCCGTGAATTCAAATTAAAAAAGAAGAATCGTAATGCTGTCTGTATTGCCTGTAATAATCGTATTCAGGGTTTTTATAGCAGCACCAATGCAGGAGACAGGTTAAATCACCAAATATTTTATTTCTATTTCTATCTTCTATCAACATTTTACTTTCTTTTAGTATGTGAAGGTAGCCATAGGACAGAACTGCCCTTAGACACTGAAATAATCCTTCCCTGTGATGTCTTTTCTGCTGTCCGGGAAGGGGAACTTGGTATGAGATCAGTGACATAAAATGAAAGGCATGAGCACAGAAGAAAAGAGGTCACTTTACGAAGTGGTTGAGCCAAAAAAGTGTTCATGATTCTAATAAAAATGTAAGATGAATAATATTATGTCTGCATTGGTGGTATTATTGCTATTATTGATGTTCCTGTATTATCCTGTTCTAGGTTTTGTGCACATACAGAACATAAAGATGGTCTGCCCCAGACAGCCTGCATCTGCATATAAAAAAGAGACAAAAAGATGGAAGCAGACAGAGGATGAGAAAACAGTTACTATAAGATGGTCAAAACAATGGGCAAAACAATGGGCCTGGATTATTGCATGTCAGCTGCCTAGTTCTTAAGAAACCTGGAAATGTCCCAGACAGGATTTTAAAGGAGGGATTGCAAGAGGAAAACTGAGGTCATACATGCTTATGTAGAGGTTTTCTGACAGCAAGGCGCAAAGGTGCCCACATATAATCCTAACTCATTAGTAAAGAAAACCTGATACCGTAGGTTAGACGGCAACAGTAGGAAGTTCTTTGGTGCAAAGGTAAGCAACTTAGGTTTAATGGGACAGAAATGGGAGTATAAGGATGCATACAGAGAGATAATACTTTTGGAGTTGAACAGAAAATGATCTTTACAGCAGCATCACGGATACCTCTGAGTAGGGCGAGACTGAATTTGACAAGGCCAAAAAAGGTCTCAGTGCAAGAGATGACCAGGACATGAATGAGAGCTTCAGCTTTGTGAACAGACAGTAATAATTCTATCTTATACATGTGGTGCAGGGAGAATTAATAAAACAAAGGTACGAATTAGGTATAAAGATACAGAGAGGAGTCTGGTAGATGTTCAGGTACAGCCAAAATGACAGGCATTTATGAGTGGTGACATTGTCTAACATGGCATCAAAAAGGGGCAGGGACCAGGGTGAAATTACTGGCTAATCATCCATGAGAAGAAGTTAGGAAGACAAATTTGCCTTTTAGTTCCTAGTGAGAAAAGTTTGGGGGAAAGAAGTGGATGTGACAATCCTAACAGTGGATGTAAGCAATTACCTGGAAATGGTATTTATGAGAAGCCATTAAAACCACAAAAGAGACGCATACTGTACTATAGCTTAAAATTGCTACTAATCTGCTGTATCTTGTTGCAAAGGGGTAAGGTATTGCCTTTTTGACTTCTAACAGAGTTACTTCCACCTCATATAAGCCTATTTTTAGAATAAGTGAGTAAAAGGTCCCGAACAAAAATAATACAGTGTTAATGTAGATCCCTGGGATCTATCCATGTTACTAACCTCCTTCTATGTGGGGAAGCAGCCATTCACTCCAGCCTCTTGCTTTGTATCACATCCTCAGGGTTCAACTCATAGCAAGACCCATGATTATTCATCCTTCTTGATCTTCTTCATTGTGTGAGAAAGCCTATTAAAAAGCTGTGTTAGCTATGCTTTTAGGTTATCTTTCTAAACCACTAATATTGCTCAGCTCTGAGGACTGAACGAATGAATTGGGCCTAGTTTAAAACTAATAGCAATTCCAGAATATGGTAAAGTAAACAAAAAAATCATTACTTAACTTAAACAATTTACTCATTAGCTTATACTGGAAAATTTACAAACTGAAGAAAATATCTCGTGTCCTACCTTAGCATGAAGTACTAAAAAAGCCATAATTTCTTCTTTTGGTCTTGAATCTTATTTATTTCTCTTAGTTCATTTTACAAGTATTTATGACAAACTAAATAAACCACTTGTGTAAACAAGTGAAAATTTACCTAATCTTATATCTTTGAAATATAAACTAGCTTCTTTTTTGTTGCCTAGCTGAGATCCTACTAAGGCAAATAAGATCTGTTCAGTGCTTTTTCAGCTCTTGGACTTGAATTCTCTCTCTTCAAATGACATTACAACTGATAACAATAAGTGTGATGCTAAAGCACAGAGATTAGAGGAAGGTTCTTCTGAGTGCAGATTTGGAGAAGCCTGGCCTAGAAAGTAGCTCCCACCCTCTTTTAGGACTCCTGGGTCCAAGGGCTTCTCCCCTGGCTCTCCACAGAAATGACCACCTACAGTTCTGGCCCGGCCTGTGAGACAAACTCGCATCCTCAGTAGGTGGTTCTTCTGGTTCCAATGACAAAATCTGAACAAATATTTTTCCTCTCTAGTTATGAAAATGAAATAGAAGCTGTGAAATAAGAATTAGGCCATTAAATAAACTAATTAACAAATATATGAAATATAAACATATTAAAAAATAAACTAACCCCGTCAAGCCCAAGTATGATTTTTGATTGAAAAGACTTTAACTTTGTCAATATACGGTGTATTGAAAAATCAAGATACTCAGATACAATATTAAAATTGGTATTAAACTTTGACAGCAACATCATACACTAAAGAAAGAAAATAGTATATTAAAACTTCTATATTAATCTCAGAAATATAATAAAAAAGAAAAATAAAAGGAGGAACAGAAGACTTTGAACTGTCAACCCAACATCAGTTGAGGGTAGCCTTAACATTTTTCTACTCTGCATATCAGCATTATTCTGAGATGCATTACAGATAATAATTGAGCCTGCCTGTTTTTCATGCCTTATAAATTACCTTTGCGTATAATGCCATCTGAGTTTATGATTAATTTCTTCTCTGTGTCTTTCCAATGACCTAAATCTTTTTTTTTTTTTTGAGTGAGATCAATATTCTTAGGCCAATCCTTCACAGAATATATTTTAAATATGAAAAATACCCTATACAATGTAGGCAAGATTAGTTTCTCATGTACATAACCCTAATTTATATATCTTAGGCTGCTTTCAGACGTTATGAAAAGAACCTTTGTGTTTTGGTCATGAGCAAAACAGGTTTTTCATTATACCTAAATGGCACATTCTATTTGATTGCAATGCATTTATCAGTAAATAAAACTAAATTATCTCTGTTCATATATGCATCCTTCATGGAGTTTTGTAATAGACTATCTAGAGTCTATTCCACTGGCAATTCACAAATGCTTTCCTTCATAACCTGCCTCAACATCAATTTTAAACAATTTTATTCTCTGAATAGCTGAAGCCTGGCTTACTATATAAATGTCCTGTGTCTCTTAAAACCACTCCTCTATGGTAACTTCCAATTTCTTTCGCACTACTTCCTCCGAGCTGCTAGTATTTCCTCCTCAGTCCTCAATATTACCTTCAGTTTCCCGTGGGCTCCCCTACTTTAGCTCTCCAGCTCCCTCACCCAAAACGGAAGCCCTCCCAGGCCTGCCTTGGCCATCACAGCCCTCTCAGGGCTCCCACTTTTACTGGCCTATTTCTCACACAAGCGACAGCGTGGGCTGTGTGTGTACCAGCGCTACACAGCTACAGACTAGGCCGCTGCCCTCTGCCACTTGTCTGCCACCTCAGTCCAGTAAAAACAATAGTAGCTAGTTTGGCTTCTTTCCTCCCTCTCCTTCTCTTTCTGTTCTCCCCCTCTCCACATGGGCTAAAGGTGTTTGTTCTCCTGGGGTCTGCAAAGAATTGAGAAATGCCTTTTGAGAGGTGTCTCCTTAGAAATTACATGCAGAGTGAAGCCTTGAATTTCCAGAATTTCACCTTTAGTTGCCTGAAGGAACTCTGGGAGGAAATTGGAGTGGCTTCAGTGCTAAAGGTGTGGACAGCTTCTCCTGGCAGCTGGAGGAGCTCGGGAGAATCCACTAGGGCACAGAACAGATATTTGACAGATCTAAAACCTTCTTTGGTAGAGAAGGTAGAGAAGCTGTGTCAGGAGCTTTTACTGTCAGACTGAAAGGTAGGAGAATTATCAAACAATTGAGCAGTGCATAGCAAATAGAGATGTCTGTAGTGGCTGTGATTTTTTCAAACCTCTGAAGAAGTTATTTTACACTGGGAAGAGTGATTACACAGCAAACGCCTAAGAATTAACTAAGAAAACAAGCCGTCGTCTCCGCAAGGAATTTGGCACAGTGTCCTTAATTCACAGTTGCATAATTTACCCTAGACATGTTCCTGCCTCTTCCCACTAGCCTTCCACTGTAACATCACAACAACCATCTTTCATTTCTTTTCTGGAAACTAAAGTTCTTTCAGACTTGAGGAAGTGCTGAGTTAATTGTCAAGTTTCATTTTTATGTATTTTTTTTAAAGTTCCTACCCAAATTACTTGGAATTTGGACAGAAACTTCTTCAAATGTAAGAAATACTAGGGGAAACAATCTATTTTGAGGGTACTAGAGGTACAGACAATACTGACATTTGTAATGGAGACCAGTACATCTCTGTAACGGTCAACAGCTTTTGAAACAGCAAAGAGGTTTTTGGAAAGAAAAGGAACCTAAGCTCTTAGAGAGAAATCTTATTCCTCTTACCAGTTATATTTCTGTTGAAGCTTTGACTAATGAATTATAGTGTAATAGTCCACAGTCACAATAATTTCTAGTTGTCCCTAGATTTCTGAGATGGACCTAGAGCCAATTCTAAGCAAGTTACACGAGGGTAGCCGATTTCAAGCACCACCTAGTGGATCTATTAAAAAGAAATAGCTATTAGCAAAATATCTTGTTAGCTTTTGAATGTAGGAATAGCAGCTGTCAATTTCTCATCTCTAGATGTTGCCATTTGATTGCTATTGTTAGTAGCTAATCACAACTATCATGATCAACTCTGAACAACACACTAAATTAATAAAGGTGAAAAAATAAAAACAAAGCACTTGAGTCTGTTGAGATGCTCCATGCACCAAATTTGGCTCTTATTGGGCCTCAGATTAAGACATTCTCTTCCCTACTCATTAAGCCTAAAACATTAAAAGCGATATGTCATTTAATGATCAGAATTCCTCAAGTAAAAGAAAAATAAAGTTCTGCTTTTGAAATGAAAGTTAATGAGAGAGAAAGATTGAGATGCTATAAGTTTAAAAATGGCAAATAGAAAGAAGGTACTTTAAATCCTGTGTACTGGTCAGTAATGAATACAATGCTCCTATATAGCATGACTAAAGGAGCTTGATAGGCTTATGATTTCAACAACTTCCTCACGACGTAAAATATAAATACAATATACGATATAAAATAATATATCAATTATCAATACAGTACATCAATAATCAATACAATAGGTTTATTGAAACTTTTATTGGTTTTATTGGTTTGTTTATGGTGGGATGGTTACTTATTTTAAATTCTGCATTTCTTCAGAACATTGCCCCGTAAAGTATATTGTTCATATATTAAATATCACACATTAAGAGCATTTTTCAGAAAGGCTTCAGGGTTACTGTGGCCAGTAACAAAAATTTACTTAAAAATATTTAAATATTGAGATTTTTAAAGAGGTGGGTTGTCAACCTAAAAGAAACTGAGTTTGTCCTGACTCAGAGGACTGAGACCAAACCTTTTACACCTGAGTACTTGTGTCTTGTCTAATTAGGCACTAGGCAGCACAGACCTTGTAACTAAGATTGGGGAATGGAGATGGCCATAATCAGGAAACTAACATATAAAATAAAAAGAATATTGTGAATTGTCACTCAAAAACAATACAGAAAGCACCATAATGCCAGAATCAGTGTAACCATTGATCAAATGTATTTAGTGATGGCTGAAAGAAAAAATAGCGGTGAACAGAAATTAGTGAAAGAACTGAGAGGGGAAACCAATGTTGTGAAAAAAATAACCCCAAGGCCTCCACCCTAGAGACATTCGTGAGTGGACTAAAACTAATGCTGTTGATCCAGCTGCTGATTAAACATCTGATTACACAGATTAATGAATAGTTTTTAAAAACTGGACAGTATCTCTATCTGGAATGAAATATAAGGACGGTAGAAATCCTTTTGATGAGGCTATACAATTCTCTTACAAATAAAACTGAATTGTGTAATAGCCAATGAGTTCTCTGCTTCAGCATACAACGAGTTGAGTCATCTTTATTTGATATTTATTTATTCAGTTAGCCTATATTTAGAAAAAGTAAAGTTCTTGGTTCTAACTTTTTGTATTGCATATTGAAAGTATTTTTCGCCTATTTTACATTACAACCACAATCTAGAGATGAATTTCTATTGTACATTAAGGCATGGCTGAAAGTAGATCAAATTATTTTGTAAGAAATACAGAGCTACAAGTAGTGATAGAGAAAAGATTTGTCATTAATGCAGAAACAAACAGTTACTTTTACTGGACTGAAGGAGAATGACTGTTACTATGTATCAATACTATTACTATGGTACTATTACTATGTAGCAATAGTCACCAATTATATCTTTACTTTGAAATGACAGATGCTATTTTGTACAAGATATCTTTACTTTAAAACACAATTTAAAGTAAATTTGGTGCCGGTTTGCTCATGGTATTCTTCAGTCTGCAAATATG